ACATACACAAAAAAAGGGAGTTTTAACAGGAAGAAACTCACTCTCACCAACTGCTTGTTCACTGTTGGGATTTCTCTGCATGATTGTGAGATTTTTATCTTACAATATAAAGCACCTTAATGTGACTGATGCTGTGGCTTGGCGTTATAAGTAAAACTGATTCTGAGCATCTTGTTACCTACGACATTTCGGACTATAATGTTGTATGGTTTGGAGATGGTGGCACTAAGGCTGTCTTAAGATGATAAAATCTTCAATGGCAGTGAGCAGGATGACATCAGAAGAGAGTGGACATATTTGACAAAGGCTGATGAAGATGGAGGAAAAGAGGAAGAGCTTGAGGGAGGTTCGTAGTCTTGCGGACTGTTGATGTTGTGACCATAAGCTCACAAAAAGAGCAGCACTGCTGCTGAGCACCTGTGGCAAGCTGTAGATCAGCTGAGATCAAGAAAAGGATGCGAGGCAGCGAGGTAAAAATCAATGAGGTTTATTTGCAGTCACAATGCTTACACTATATGTAGCAGACATCCAAACAACTCAAACAGCTATTCACTCTATGGACCCAACACATTCACATCAGGGACACAAGCCAAAAAATTAGGAACTCAATAAACATCCGTGAGTGCTGACATGGTTAGAGATGAGCTAGTTGTCACAAACAGTTAGCAGCAACATCGTAGAGAGTAACACAAGTTGCTAATAGACTCCACTTCCTGCTTCTCTTTGTACACCTTCTGCCAAGGTTTGACGACCGATCCGGACGCCTTCGCCGCACTCCCGCCTCGATGGTTTCCCCCTGTTGCTTCCCGCTTGGTGGCTCAGACCTTGGCTGTTTGAGCTCCATCGCGGGTTCAAGCCGTCGCAGCACCGTGAGACACCACATACACGCACGCCAGGCAACAGAGAGCCACTCCACGCACACGCAAACACACACAACATCAACGCACACGCCAAAAAGGACTCCCTAAAAAAAGGGGGGCAGGCCGAGACCTGGTCCGAGGAATCCAGAGTGTAAACAAAATGGTGGAAACTGCACCCAGCCTACCAGAGGGGAAAATGTAGCTGTGACCATGTTGCTTACACGTTCATCAAGCAGCAGGCGTGCGACACCTGCAGGACGTCACCACTGGCGCAGCCGCCATGCTCAGAGGAAGGCAGAGCCGCGGCGATGCAGACGGGTGCCTTAAAGGGAAGTTCTGCTGCTTTTTTTTTTTTTTTACAATAAAAACAAAACAAAAAACCTCCATCACTTTCTGTGAATTCAGTCAGCTGACGCTGGAGAGGATTTCACGTTTTTAACTGCATGAAAACAACAAATAATGTGGTGAAACCTGAAATTTCAGAAAATATGACCTTATGTACTCCAAAAACCGTCAAAGAAACAATTCACGTGGCGATAAACAAACGGTGACCCTCCTCCCTGACTTCCTGTGTGGTTTTTCTTGGTCACGAGTCTTTAAACGCAGTCATGTTGCCGTATTCGACTTGAGACTTGGTAGAAATTGGTGCTGCCTGAAGATCTGTGGAGGTTTCAGCTCAGCTTTAAACGTGTTCCTCGATCAGTGGATTCAGTGTTTTGGACTTTGTTCTGTCGGTCAGACACTCAAGAACATCAACACAGAAAATGAACTCTATTAACCCGACAACATCCTGTAAAAGTCGCAATATTAAACCAGTCGTCGAGGCGAATCGGGGTAATACTGTAATGTTACCATGTGATCACTTTAACAGTGTTTTTCCTGAGTTTGAAGACTCGTTTAAAGGCTCGTGTGGTTCTGTTTTAGTCGAGCTGAAGCCGATAACAGCAGCTGGTGATCATGATGAAAACTCGGGTCACGAGGCAACGAGAAGCTGAAGTTAAAACATGCAGATTATTAGAGGACGTCTGCACTCCGACACTCCTCTGATGTCAAAGCAGATTTACGGAGGTTTAAACATGCCGCTTTTACGATCTGTTTAAAGTCTGTCTGAAAAAGAATCCTCACATCTAGTTTTATATGATTCATTGTGTTAATTCAACTGAAAAAATGATAACCGAGTGTGATTATATCCTCATTTTCTGCTGGTTTCATTGGGAAAGTTTATTTTCATTACAAAGGGGGAAAAAAAAATCTACAGAAAGCACGAGAATTTTTAAGGTGAAGATATCGGAGAGCTGAAAACTCACTCGGGGACTGTTAAGTGGGGCGAAAGCAGGAAGTGCCCCAGCTTCAGGAGCTCGAGTCTGAAATGTTTGTTTGAAATGCTGCAGATCATTTTGTCTGATAAATGAATAACATCTGAATAACAGGGAAAAAAATGAAAAATAACTTTTAAGGAGACGTCTTCAGATGTTTGACAAATGTTTAAAAATCAAAAGATGAATCGCTTAAAATAACGCAGCGTTAATTAATCATCAGAACGAGCAAGTTAATAATCTGCTTTAGTATTGCGGGAAAAAGAAGAGCTGGAACTCAACAACAAAATATCTAAAAGTTCAACATTTGAAACATTTTGAGACTGAAAACGTTTATGACCCTTCGTCACAACAGAAGCTCTAATCAAGGAATAATCAGCAGATTATTAAATCAAAAATCTGACTGAAGATTAATAATTATGTCCGACTTTGTGTCGCCACTAAAATCGTCACTGCAGCTCCAGTAATAATAATATAATTATTATCATCATCATCATCATACTAATACGGCTTTGATGAAGCCTCTCTGAGGATTTCCTCTATATTTGCAAACCTGGGTCGTGACCTCCTGTCAGCCTGATGACACCCTGAACTTCCCTGAACGTTGAAATGTCAGTCTGTGTGTTGTGTGATCGCTTGTTTTACTGTAACCATAAAGAGCTAAAGTTTTGTTTTGATCACGCTTTAGTCAAACTGAAGTTGATGACGTGCCAGCTTATTGTTCTGCAGCTTACAGTTAATGATAATGATAATAATAATAATAATAACAACAACAACAACAACAACAACAACAACAACGACAACCACGGGGGTTTTGATGAATCTTTTTAAATGATGGCTGGAGAAAAAGTGTCACGTGACCAAGAAAAACAGGAGCTAATCACTATTTCTGTCTTTAAATCATTTTTATGACGCTCTGACAAACATGCTGACATTAGACCAACTTTAAGCTGAAGGTTTAGCGAGCCTTCACAATAAAAGTGGCTCTAATGAAAGATGTTTGGTCTGCTGAAGGTGTTTAATTTTGTCCGAGCACCACGGAAAAGCCCAAAGACCTCCAGGTTAGTGTTTATGGGCAAAGAGAAACAGGAAACGAGGATGGAGGTGGCGTTTTTCTACCTCGCCGTGACCAAAATGTGACGGTTTTGTGACACCGAGGAGGAAAAGCAGCAGGACGGTCCCTCTGAGGCCGTCATTCGGGAATATTTACATCACTTCAAGCAGCAGAGACAGAGAAAAATGTACAACATGGATGCTCTGAGCCTCCCTTTCCGTTAGTGTGTGTACCTGCTTCCTGTGCTTGCCCCGCCCACCCTCCGGCCTCATGCCCACGCAGACAGACATGTGCACTAACTCACTACTCTGTAAAAAGCTCAATCACACGTTGGTTTGTTGTCTCGTCTTTGTGGGTTTTTAAAGTCGATCATTATAAACATTGTTCAAAATGTTACGAAAGAAAATGTACACTTGGTTTCTTGGGTGGTTTCTATACAAGGCAGGCAGAAGCGGATTACTACGTTTACCGGCGTTCGTCCTTTCGTCCCCTCGCCGCCTCTTCTGGCTGCGGCGCACTCCACTTCCTGTCAGTGATTCAGAGTGCTCAGACATGCTCCCTCCCCCCCCCTCTGTTCGAGCAGCCAGGCGAGCCGGACGCGGCGGGCTGGCTTTAAAATAGATCTGTATATATTTATATATGCTTATATCAAAAAGGAGGAGGGGGAGGGCTGAATTGGTGTCGTGGCAGGGTGATGATCCCTGGGCATCCGGGCCCGGGGGGGGAGAGGGGGATGCAGAGAGGTGAGGGGTAGGAGGCCGTGGAGAGGCGGGTCGAGGGGCCGGGCGAACTCGGTGGGCGGCCGCGTGGAATGTCAGCTCATCATGTCGTTGCTGTTGACGCCGTATGTCGAGTTCTTCATGCTGTCGTTCACCTCCCTCCTGAACACTGACAAGTTCTGTGTGAACCTGCAGAACACACACAGAGCATTTTTACCTCGTCAGGCACACGAACAACTCCCCTCAGTGTTCCCCTGCAGGAGGTCAGAACCAGCTAATCCTGACTGTTAAGATCCGCCCACATTAAAACCTCCGAAAGGCAGCGCTCCTTTCAGGGCCTGAATTTCTGACCAGCGTGTAACGACGTGTTTTTACAGAATAAATTTGTGGTTTTGTGAATGAAGTCTGGTGGAGAGGAGCAGATCTGCGGCATCAGCACAGAAACACTTGTTAGTTACCGAGGGCAAGGGTTACCGTGGGAATCATTAGGATTTTTCGGTTGTTACAGCACAGACTGATGTATAACTGCTCGACTGGAGTAATGTGACCATGCACTGCACAAACAGCAGTATTATCTGCACGTCAGCCATGTTTAAAACTCAGTTTGAGGTTAGATATAGATGGCGAACAAACACAATATTTGTACAGAAATTATTTCGAGCTCATTTTTCACAGTTTTCACCCTTTTAGGTCACCCAGACCTTCAGCTGCTGCTGCATCACGCCTTCTGAAAGTTCTCCATCAGCAGCTTTACTTTCCTAATTCAGTTCCTTCCAGCTGATGAGGAAATGTGTGTTCGGGATCACAACGTAATCTAACGTAACTGGATGACTTCCTCCATACACCGATCGTCCTGACATCCCCCTGACAGCAGGTTATATTATAATGCACAATGTGTGTCTCCAAAAATAAGGTGTGTCGCTGTTCCACATCACTAAACACTGGTCTTCATATATCTTTCAGGCTGTTTAGGATTACACAAGAAAAAATGTTTTCCTCCAGTTTAAGTGAGTAATAAATCAGTGACAGTAGTAATCGAGTCCACAGCAGTACCTTTAGTTTGTACCTACTTCTGGGTGTGGCTTTCTGCAGGTAACCCAGTCTGTGGATCAGAACCTCATACAATCCCTGCTGCAGAGTCTGAATGATCACAGACTGAGTGACAGTCTGTGAGTGGCTTTTATCTCTAACGCTAAGCTACGATCCTGACAGAGTCTAGCGTGTCTCACGTCTCCACCCGTTTTTCACGTTCCTGACCACCCGAGAGGATGAATGCTGTCTGCTCTCACCTGTCCCGGTTCTTTGTTAGTAGATTTCTCTCAATTCCCTCCATCAAGTTCTCGAAACATAAGTGCATGGCTTGCTGCTTCTCAGGCGGCTGGCTGTTGACGATGCTGTTCCTCAAGTCAGCGAAATACTGCAGTTAGAAAAAACACACGTGTTATAGCGCACATAGACCCACGCGGTGCCACCTCTGAGGCGAGTGCAAGCGGCAGTTACCTTCTCGTTGAGCAGGATGAGGCCTAAGAGAGGCCGCGACATGGACCACTGGTTCCTGCAGTCCTCGAAGATGATGATGTTCAGAACGGTGGACAGCATCTGATCAACGACAGCAGCAAGGTGTCAACGTGTGTGTGTGTGTGTGGTCAGGTGACTCAGGTGTGATCAACTCACCTGCTGGATCATCTCCGGGTGCTGCTGCATGATGTGCAGGAAGCGGTCATCTGTCGCCATGGGAGCGGGCCGCTTCTTGGTGGAGCGCGACAGCTGCTTGAACAGGTAGGTGACGATGTGGTCGAGGCTGGAGCAGCAGCCGGTGCACACCATCGTATCTGAAACACACACAAAGACACAATGATGTAACTTCAACACACACGCACGCACACACACACAAACCTGACCAACGCTGCTGCCTTACCGAGCGCTGTGAGGCCTTCTGATATGGAGGACAGGATGTACATGACCACGTGAGGCTCCAGGCTCGCGATGAAGTTCATGTGGTCCTGCGTCAGCACTTCCAGCAGAGAGTAGAAGGACTGGCTGAGCTTCGGGTAGTCCTGCAGAGACAGGACCAGAGGTCAAGGGTTAAAAACTCACTCAAACGGAGTCCACGTCTCCAAAGTCACAAAAACCTGTGAGGAGGTGGAGCATACCAGCAGGTCACTGTGAGGGATGGACAGCAGTAGTTTGATGAAGGTCTGTAAGGCATTGTCCAGAGCGTCGTCGCCATACAGACGGAAGACCCCGAAGTTGACGTAGTTCCCGCTGAGCACCGCCTTCAGCATGGCAAAGCACACGCTGACGCCCTTCAGCTTTACCCCGTACACCTGGTCCTTAGGGACCTCGCCCAGCGTCAGGATCCGATTCCCTGAAGGAGAAAACAGGAACTCGATGAGCGGCCCAGAACAAAGACAGGTATATGTTTGAGGCGGTTGAGTGGGGGTCAAAGGTTGTACCATAGGTCGTGATCATCTTGCTCGTTTCTCTGAACAGCAGGATGCCGTTTGGCGACGACACATCAAACTGAAGCCGCTGTGATCTGAAAACAAAACAAAAACCAAACACAGTTAGTGACCTTTCACCTCTACATTTGATCTGAAAGGAGACGCGCTTTGGTTTCTGAGCCGAGTAAAACATCACTGAAAACCATCTACATTAGTCACGCCTCACCAGAACTCTGAAAACATTAGGTGTCAGACCTCTGAGGCGGCTTCCTCATTTAAAACTTGACTATTCTGCTGACGTTCACTGTGTGTACTCTTAGAATGAACCAATGAAAACACTCCCACAGCTCCTGCTGGGAGGGAAAATGCTACAATCATAGCTGATCCCAGGCCGCCAGTGGGCTGCCTTTACTTTCTTTGAGTCGTCTCTGGATCCTCACAGGCTGAACCGTTGTAAGGATGTGACAGCACAGAGGTCAGAGGTCATACTCTTAAACCTGCCCCTTCGTCACTGGGCAGGTTTACCTGTTGTGGACGAGCTCTGCCATGAGCTTGAGGACTGGCGTGGTGCATGCTGGGTCGTGGTACCACAGTTCGATGGCCCGCTGCAGGATGGGCATGTAGGTCGGGTATCTGCGGAGCGGGTTAAGGACACACTTTCATCGTTTACACAATAAACAGAAAAACCAGGATCTGACCGCGTGCTGATCTGAAGTCAGTGTAAGGATACATCCAGTCAAACAGCATCATGAAGCTCGTCTTGGCGTTGAAGGCGAATGCAATTCCTCGCAGGTCCCGGACCAAACCCACCAGAGTCCTCTGCAGGAGGAAGAGGAGGAAGGTCAATGTTTCGAAACATGTGCTCAGCTGCTTCTGCTGGAGTTTCCTTGTGTTTAAGCAGGGTCACAATTTTATTAGCACAACTCTGAGTTACACCCGCTTTATTCTTTATCCCTGCTACACCGCCATCGCTGTGTCACACATGTGTTTACGCACACACACAGAAACACAAACACGAGCAACACAATGTGTGTCTGTCTGCAAAAACAGAAATAAATGTTTGACAAAACTGATGCTGTTTATGTGTCTGTATGTTTGTGAGGGTGTTCTGACCTTGGCTTCCTGCTCGTTAAAGGTGTTTGTACTCAGCATCTGAGCCACTGCTTCAAACGCCGCCGTCAGAGGCAGCATGAACTGTTCGAACTGGTCCTCATCTTCACCTGCAGACACAGACACACACGAGGCCCAGTGTTAACTGTGTGTGTGTGGCTCCTGCAGACCACGTCACACTTCATTTCCAGGCACCAGTATCTCTCCTGTTTCAACTTTTGTGTTGTTACAAGATAAAAACTTTCTGCTGCTTCTTCATCACAAGGGGTGCCGCAGTGGGTCGTTCTGGATCTGTGTCTCAGCGACCTTTTGCCAAGTGAAGTCTACAAAAAGTCCGAAACTGAAGAACTTGAAGCCACACCAGCGTGTGTGTTTGTGTCTGCGTACCTAAATCGACCATCAGCAGGCGTCCTAGTGCAGTGTAGAAGGTGGTCCGACACCTCATGTCGCTCAGGTTGGACTGGTTGTTCACTCCCAGGAAGGAGAAGTGCTCGCTCTGACAAAGACAGCAGCAGGAAGTTCATCACAGCTCACTTTCTTCTTCGTGTGTCAGCTCAACTCGTTTTAATCAGACGTGAAACTTGGGCTCCGATAAATGTGAAGTACTCACCGTGTGGTTGTTCAACATGAACTGGACAGCGCTGAGTTTCACCAGCTTCCTTACGCTGCTGTACGTGCAGACAGTGAAGTCAAGGAGAAAACGTTGACCCAGAGCCCCACCCCTTCCTTTAACTCAGTGCCTGGTTTAACCTTTAAGTCCTTAAGATGGATTCATTATCCTGCTCAGTAGCTTTTCATGACTCACGGTTCATAATTATCCTTATTTATTAGGCACCAGGCCCTCAGCTCATCTGAAACAAGCTGCTCAACATTTAAAGACAACTTTCTTCTGATTGGCTGCCCCTCATTAACGATAAGATCAGGTGGGCAAGGCTTCTTTTGCTTTACTTTCACTACACAAAAACAACAGCAAAGATAAAAACTAGACTAAATCAACATGAAAACATTTGTGTGGGTCACAGACATGAAGGATATCCTAAGGAGAGGTCATTCAGGAGCTGGAGTGTCTTGGAGGTGATTGGTTCACACTGGCCCCAGTACTTCAAGTTTGTGATACTGAAAGAGAGGAAAGTTTACTTCTACATATTTACAGCGGCTGAGAGTTCGTTTAACTTTGAACATCGGCTCTCAGGTGTGCCGGAGTTACCTGGACTTCAGTTACTCACATTTTCCCTATAAAGACGCTGAGTACCATCGTCTCGTCATTCAAGCCCAAAACTTCTGATAGTCGTCGATAAAGCTACGAACAAACACAAACAGGAAGTCACATGATCACCACGCGGCTGCCACTTCAGAGGACGCTTCAAGTCATTTCTCTGTTTTCAGTTTGGAACAGTCTGCACCGAATTCTGCTTCTTATTATTTTACTTTAGTTCCAATGAAAACAGAAACAATAATAATAAATATTTTAATAAAATAATATCAAACCTGTCCACATTCAGTAAAATACTGAACATTTTACTGAATGCTTGATCACCCTCAGCGTTTAAAAAGGGTTTCAGGACTTTACTACTCCCCTAAATTTAGTTTTAGCCCCAAAACGCTAAATCGATTGAATCCAGCCAGCCAGAAATCAGTAATTTGGCCCGAGCACTGTGTGAACAACGCTCCAGATTCAGCCAGACTTCCCAGCCCGAGAACAGGTACTGGAACTGAATCCAAAAGTAAGGCCTCGGGTTTGACCGATGTTTTGACAAAACCGACTGAGATTCTCCGAGCTCTGGAGGTTGCAGACTTTTCCGAGTTTCTCTTGGGCATCCTGAGGCATTCCTGGGCCAGCAGAGATATATAATCATATACTCTGTGCAGTGAGTTACTGCTGCGCCCCGGGGAACCACTGGAGGAGCAGGAGGAGGAGGCTGACCATGTGACTCACAGCTGACTCTATGCCTACCTAACACCACATCCTGAATTTTAAACACCACCATGATGCTCTGCGAGCCAGCAGGGGGCGCTAACACCAACCACAATTTACTTTCAAGCACTTATCTGGATGTTCACACTTTGCAGTTTCTGAGCAGAGAGATCACACAGAGTCAGACCTGCTCATTCATGTCAGCTGAAAGGGGTGGAGCTTACAGAGAGGCGCGCCTTACCTTTGATGATTTCTGCACCTGGTCACCGATGTAGATCTTTCTGAACTGCTCGAAGAAGCTGAGCATGGCCAGCTCCAGCCTCTCATTCCCAGCTTGAGCGAGCCGCGAGTCTGTCAGGTTCATGAGCTGGAGCACCCTGAGGCAAACGCAGGAAACGCAAGGTCAGGCTTTCAGCGACAGGAAGTCACGCCCCCAGACACCGGCTCGCCACATTCGCACTCTTACCGACAGACTAACTCTCCATCCATGGCATCCTGCTCGTCTGTGCTCGCGAACGACACGCGTCCTCCGATCACTGCCCCGATTATGTAAACCAACCACGTGAGCCGACCTGCAGAGAAGCAGAGGAGGCGTCAGACTCCCGAAGTCCCCAAAATAGCACAGGGGTGGGGCTCGCGCTCTTACCCTCCTGCACTGTGATGTCCATGGCGCTCGAGTTGGTGGACTGCAGCAGCTCCTGGTAGGTTTGAGCCGCCTGGTCGAACAGCTGGACGAGCAGTGCGCATGTCTTCTCGTACTCGCAGCGGCCGATGGTGGAGAGCTGGTCCAGCTGCTGCTGAACGAGGCCGGCGTCGTCCAGAGGGTCCTCCAGCCCGTCCCTACGGACAGAGACATGCTCAGCTCATCCCTAAAAACCCTCAGGTGAAGTTTGCCTGAGCCATCACCGACCCAATCCTTCAGACTCAAACCATCGTCACTGCACCGATTCACAGCCACAAACACCGAACACATCATGGGAGTAACATCCAGAATCTGTTCCCAACACATCTAAGTTTTTATGTACATCTTATGAACGCATTAATTAAATTAATGGAATAAATGGAAATGCAATCTTTTGCTGGAAAATCAAACAAGATGAAATCCTGTCTAACTTTAAGGTTGGTTTAAGTCTCACCTGAGGATGACATGGACCGACTCGAGTCGGGACGTGATGTAGGCCTTGGTGACCTCTGGAGTGTACGTCTCCAGCAGATGGGGCTCCGTGGCTTTAACATAAGGGACTGATGCTGCCAGGCGCTGCCACAGGCTCAGCAGGTAGTGAACACTGTTGGGGGCGAACTCCCAGTGCTGAGGAGGAAGAGTAGGAGTAAAGAGTCAGGTACACAACACTGCTGCTTGACCACGATGTAATTGTGTGTGTGTGTGTGTGTGAGTGTGAGAGAGAATATATACACACATACCCTTTTTTTTTTTTTTTTTTTTTTTTTTTAAACGTGGATGACACACACATACACTATTACAGACGGAAAAAGTTAAAAAACCCACCTGCAGACTGGTGACGGTGAAGTTGGCGATGAGGCGAATGACCTCTGGGTAGTTTTCCACTTTGACCAGCTCACCCAGCTGGTAGTTACTCTTCAGCCTCGCCAGCAGGCGGCAGAACTCGTGGTAGTTGTTTGGATCGGGCAAACACTGAAGCACAAACACACATTGTTCAACACACACGAAGCTACAGAGGTGTGTGTGTTTTCAGACAGGTGTGTGTTACCTGTGGGTTTGCCAGTATCCTCTTCACTCCGTCCACCAGGTGTGACAGAAACTTTGCTCGCTCTGCATTGTTGAAGAGAGACCTCCGAACTGAGGCAATCTGAACTAGACACGACAACACCTGCACCCAGACACACACACGAACAGTAAAGCTTCACGCATCAGTCTGCAGGCTGTAGTCACATGACTGTGCTCACTTACCAGTGGGGAGAGGGATGGAGGGATGGAATGATATAAATTGAAAAACAGCTGCAGGGTGGAGGAATCGAGGAACGCTGCAGAAGACAAAACACAGATTTAACCGTTTTCATGTTGTCGTGAGGCAGTAAATATCAGTAACAACACCACATTAATCTGTAAGCGGCGGGCGCCTCGCTCCTCTACCTGATCTCCATGATGTGGGGATCTGCACGGTGCACAAGTCGTCCGACGACTCGTCCGTGGAGGTTCCTATGAAGTCGTAGTTGAGGCAATTGTAGCTGAGCTTCAGGAGCTGCATCAGCAGGCCGTGCTGAGACTCATCGTTCAGGTTCAGGTTCTTCCCTGAAGCCTGAAAAGCAAACCCATCATCATCATCATCAGCATCAACAAACCGCCATCATCATCAGCTTCACTCAGGCGTTTAATATGATCTGTTAGTGTCCACAGCGAGCTGCCTCACTCAAAATACATCTTTATATGAGTTTTTAGAGCAGCTTTGCGTGATCCACAGGTCAAAATAATCCTTTGTCCTACAATGGGCCTTAGTTCAGCCTTTAAGACCCCCATTTTCTTTTGATTGGCCAACTTGTGGAAGCCTGCTTAAGGGCAGCACTTATGTTTTCCTTGCAGAGATCACATTTTCATACTTTCTGCTCTTTGTTTGAAGCATCAACTCATGTTTAATATGAACATTAAATATCTGACACAAAGAAGACACAAGTTTTATTCTGACAGTGTCAGACTAACATGGACATGCAAAGAAAAAGAATAAATCTAAAGTTAAGGTAGATAAATTGAGGAATTGATACAAAATTAAATACAGAACAAAAATAAAATAACACAGGTCTGAAATAATTAAAAAACTAAAAGCGGGAAATCAGTACAAAAATGAAATGCAGTGTATATGTAAGCCTGTATGGGAGAAAATGCCGACAGGACGAAACAAACCTGCTTGAGGAGGTTGCAGGAAAGCGTGAAAATGTCAAAGAGCGAGGAGTCTCTGAACGAGGAGGCGATCTTCCTGTGTTTGGTCAGAGGATGCGTCGTGTCGGCCTGAGGAGAAAAAAAAAGAAAAGAAAAAAAGATCAGAGTCGGCAGAAAATCTGAGGACCAACTAATGCTGGTGATTTCATCATCAACAAAAAATAAATAAAAATGACACTTCCAGAGTTTAGCTTCAATATCCTGCACTGTACGCTCACTGTATATTACACAGATATATTTTATTTTGGAATCAAGTCACTTGATTTCTTTTAATCCACCTTACTGAACTTTTTATTTTTAAGAGACTTTATTATTTCCTTGCTTGTTTTTAAAGCTGCTGTACTTTTTTGAACATTATAACTAGGTTGATTTATTTTTGCTCTACTGAGCCAGTATTTGGTAACATCCCTGGAGCAGGTGACACTCATAGGGATCATTTTCATGTTCTGTAGAGCCTGTAAAGGTCAAATGACCCTTTGCGGTTGGTCAGATGCTGCCAACATCATCACTTTCGTTGAACGTGCAGCGAAATCTGGGTTAGCAAGTTACAAGTTAACGGTCATGTGACTGTTTACCCTGACTGCTGCTGTTAGTGTAAGTGAATCTGGATACAGGAAAGGTATGCTGGATATGCTGAACTCGTTTCGTAGTATAGAGCCCAGTTTGGTCTGGACACGTCACCAAACATTCAAACTCTTCGGCCTGCTGTGGTCGTCGATCACTGCGAGGATCTGTTTAAATCTGCCACACCTCCATAAATTGCACGCTGTGACTTACCTGATTGATCTCATTGGTCAGCTGGGACAGGATGGTGACTCCTATGATGCAGTGTTCAACGCTGTCCTGTAAAAACAACCACACAAAAGGTTAGAAACGCACACAGATCAGGTTAAACTAATCCAGGCTTAAATGATCCTGTTTGTTTCTTTCTTCTCACACACTGAATAAAACAGGTCCAGAAACAGAGTAAGCAGGTTTGAGCCATGCGGAGAAGTCATTATGACATCAAAGTACGCTGCACATTTACACCAGATCAAATGAGCCTACTTAACAGTTATAAAAGCACCGAAATCACCATGGTAATGATCGAACCAATAAGCTGAATCTTCTTACTTTTAAAAACTTGCTTAAAACTTTTTATTCTGACAAATTAAACAAATAAATATACACAAGATTCACAGGACAGAAGGGTTTCAGCGCTCTGACCTGCAGGAAGCGTGTCACGTCTGCGATCACGTTTCTGAACACGTAGTCGTCTTTCTGACAGTCGAACCAGCCCAGCTTGGTGATCCTGGCGTAGAGCTGGATCAGAGCCTGCGTCACAAACGCCGCCAACTTCGGCCGCGTCGCCAGGTAGTTCAGCACATAGTTCCCTGAAAAAACAAACAAACAAAACATTTAGCAGCGGCTTTTCAAAATAAGACACTAAAACACCCTGCTTTGCTTTACTGAAAACCCCACAACCTGTTCAACTAGTAATATCGATTTTGTTATATTTTGAAAGACAAACATCTTCATTGTCATTATTGAGGTTTGATGAGTGCATCTCTGTTGTGACTGTTAATGCATCACTCCAGCTTCTCTTTAATCCTCAGACTGACCTGACCTGCAGGGTTTATCCGCTTTTTTCAGGAGATACTCACGGATATCAATGCGTTGCTCGAGGGGTAGAGGGTTGCTGGTCCGAGAAACCAGTTTTGACAAACAGGTGGCTGCGAGCAGCTGAGAATATGAAGACTGACAGGAGACAAAACAGTGAGGTCAGGTTATCTCCTCTGACAGCCATCTACATGCTTTTATTCTGACAACAGAAGAGGAAATGGCCTTTCAGATATGCTGGTTAGTGAAGGGGTTGCTCCATCATTATCTCAGGCAGATGAAAAAAAAATTGAAATCTTAAAATATACCCTCACACCTACAGAAACCTGCTCATAAATATGAAGTACGAGTTGACTCCACTTCATTTTAGAGTTACCTCCTCATTAGTGTGGGGGGTCAGCGATCTTCACCTGGATGACACGATACTTCATCCATCCCAATTAAAACAAACCCTTTGAAATATTTCAGTTTGTGTTTATCAAGCACCGAATATGATATAAATATTAAGTACAAATATTTAAAAATTTGTTGTGTTGGGATTCTTGGATTTTATCGTGTGTCTGCACGTTGTGGTCATGTATCTGTGTGATACCATTTCTCTCTATGAGAGGAAACGCTGCCCACCCTTGAGGTAAAGCTTTTGCAGGTGAACCTGTGGATGGATTAGTCGGTGCTCAGCTAACCCTCATCAGGGCGTGACTCCTCCCCCTCATTTTTCACTGACTTGACTTTTGTCCAAGTGAAAGATGGAGCACAAAACTGAAAGTCTTCATGCTTTCAGCTTCTCCAAAAATCCCCCATCATGTCTGCTGAGTCTGATCTGAATCTGCAGGGTCAGGCACAGGACTGTCTGACCCTGCAGAGCATCATCTCTGCTAACATGGGAAAGTTAAACTGAAGCTGCTCGGACAGTCCGGCCGTAGTCTGTACTCACGCTGCCTCTCTCCAGCAGCAGTTGACATTTGCTGAGACAGTCGGGGCTGTTGGTGAATTCCACCAGAGCTTTCTCAGCCTGGTGTCGGACGGCGGTGTCGGTGGTCTCGTACAGCTGCTTACACAGGATCTCCAGCTGGGCGAGGCCCTGGATAAGACAGAGGGACACAGCGCAGGCTTATCAGCGAGCCGCAGCCGGCTCGAGTCTTTCATCGTTTCAGACAAACAGAGATCACAGCAGATAAGACGGGCGGCCACGCCGAGCTTTACACACTCATAATCACAGACACACATGCCGAGCGCCATCTGCTCCAACCGTCTCGGGTTACTTTCTAGGAAAACTACACCGACAGGGCCAAAGATGGGGGACAGCGGCATGAGTGCAGGTGGAAGCTGATGGTCTGATGGTGTTTACAGCCTCCACCTAGGTGCGCTAGCCACCTCCACTCGTGTGATGCGTTGAGGGTACATGGAGTGAGGTATGACAGAGCACTGCATCATGTGTGTCGAACTTCTGCAGGCGTCAGATAAGCGGCGAGCACCAAACCCCGCCCACGGTGATGCCCGCAGACCCTCAGCTTACACTCAGCTTCACGTGAAACTCATCAAGTTCAACAG